AGCTAAATGTAATAAAATCTATAGTAAAAATACCATTAAATGAATTTCCTTGCGCTGTGTAATGGTGTAAACCACAACATTAATAAACTGATGAAACTATCACTCGTAATTTACTGCTCTGTATAATCGCAAGGTTTTGTCACGATAAAATCGCAATCATATGTTACAAATAAACGTGTAAAATATTTTCCGATAAAAATCTGTTTACACAGTCCTTATGATGTTCTGTTCTCTGCATTCATATTTTATCACGTGAGTTTTTGATTTATGTCCATAAAATGTTTGTAATGATACCTAAGCGTGGGTTGCTGGACACAAGTTTACATTTAGTGAATTAGTAAGGTTGCATGTTTTTATAGATTTATTACTAATGGCTACCAACGAAATTAAATGCTGTCCTAAATATCAATAAAATACAAATTCTACACCATTAATTTTTTATTTCAATTTTTGAAACAATTTTTCACTCTGCATTGAAGTTATAATAATTACTTAAAGAAATGACTTTTTTTATTAATCTGCAACTTCAAATATCTGATAGCACAGTTAGATATTTTCTTCTTGAAAACGATAAATGACTGTTATAATTTGTGGCACATTTGTAGTGATATATATGTTAGAAGATGTGAAAACACATTTTAGAAGTTTCATAAAGCAATCAAAAGTTTGTTATTACTTTTTTATGTCTTCTTTGAATGTGAACAAATACACCACATTGTAAAAAAAATGTAGGGGTCGAAGTGGGATCTAAATGATTGAGAAGTTCACATTCGCTATACACAATGAAAGGGTTTTTTATAATAATTAATAATAAAGTTTTATGTTTGTTATCTATCACAATAGGTTCCTCTCTCAAGTGTTTGATAATGGGACCATCGCATATTTAATTATTAATTATTATGAAATATCACATTTTCTTAGTTTAGTAGTTTTTATTAATTGCTTTATCAGATGAGTAAAAATGGTTGTTTTTTTGTAAACAAAATTTTGGATACATTTCTCCATGAATACAAATTTTAGTTACATTTTATTTTCAATCACTAATTATGCTATTTTCTCATCCATTTTTGGAGTAATTGGAAATAACGTTACCACCCAGTGACACAAAGTGGTTACAGGTGGGTTATGTTGACATTGAGTTACGTCAAACTGAGAGCAGTTGTACCACCCAAAGGTTGATAGGCACCGCTGATTCTAATTCATTTTCGATCGTATCGTAGAAGATATCTTTTTGTATGTAATAAATATGGGTTTTTTGGCTTAATAAATATTATTCATTTTGAAAATGTATATAATGCAATGTGAAGAATTCAAGGAAAATTTATTTTTCTAGAGTGAAAATACGAAATGAATGAATCTTTTATTTTGAACTAACAGTGTACTTAAATGTAAAAGAGAAGTTTCATAATGGATTGTTTTATGCTTTCCATTTTGGTTTCTTTGTTAACTGTCGTTCATCGTTTGGTGTTTGGAATTTGTAGGTAATTACATCAGACATAAAACTTCCACAACTATCGAACCGATTACTTAAAAATTTTTGTTTTTGTGATTCACAGTCTTTTTAATATGTTGTTGTTTTAAAAAAAATAAATATAGCATTATTCAATTTTCCTTTGTCTTATAGATTACCTAGCGGATTTTTTTGAAATTGTTTATAGGTAATCTATTAATTTTGAGCTTGATAAATTCAGCTTTTCCGAAAAATTAAAATATTTGATTTTCCCAATTTTATTGTTTTTTATGGAAACCATTATAAGATAAAATAAAAATATGTATCTAATGTTTGAATAAAGGTAAAGGAACGTGCTAACTGTTTGTTACAAGTGAGTTTTTTCTATTACAAAATTTTTTGTTGATGTCATCCACACAAATATGAAAGGATCAAATTGCCCGACGGACTCCATTACAGTACATCCATTGGTTATCCTCGATAAGAAAAACAACTTGAAAGTGTTTAAGTTTATACATCGGAAGAATGTCACGTAGAAATCAGTTTGATTTGAATGAGTTCGTCCCGTCAAAACATTAAGTAGTAAGCTACAATCGACAAAATTTTGAATATCATTATTATAAGTCTTATTAAATAAGGACCTTTGTATTTTCACATTTTCGGGAAAATGGGGTGACTCGTTTTTAATTTGATCAATAAAAAATATGAACCACAAATAAAAACTCATCATTTTGCAAATTTTTTAGATAGGATTTATTCGGCAAAATTTTGAGATGACGTAATTAATTTTTTGGGGTTGATGAACAGACATATTTTACTTAAAAAGTTACCACGCTTACAATAATTTCAAAACGTCTGCAAGATTTCAAAATATTCAGTTTTGCAATTTTTGATTTAAACAATAAAATAAACTGACTCAGTCATTATTTTTTTAAGACACCTTGTATAAGGGGGATAAGTAAATATATTTTGATTAAAAACATTCATGCCTATCATAATCTTAAAACATTTGCAAGATTTCAAACCATTCGGTTTTGTAGATGTTACTTTATACAATTTAAAACCCATTTACTTTACAATTTTGAACTGTGTACTTTTTGATATTGTCTGTCTATTAAAAATCCGTGACGTGAGACAAACAGACAGAGGGACAGACAAACAGACAGACAAACGGACCTATTTCTTCGTACTGTAGGGGTCATGAAAGGTCGAGAAAACGTAAAAGTAGAGAGTCGGCCGACGGACTCGATTACAGTACTAAAATATACACATCATATAAAAGTATAGTAAAAATTTAGCAAAACTGTGTGTTCACAATTGTTTTGAGTATTTTTAATAACAACCATTTTATAATTCTGACGTCACTAAATTAAATGATAAGAAAAATATCTGAGAAATTGACTTGATAATAATCAGTTTTATGCAAAAATGTTGACTTTCTTCTTCTTCTTCTTCTTTTTCTTCTTCATCATTATCATCATCACCATCACTGTCGTCATTAACTATTACATAATTATGATGTTTTAGAAGGTATTTCCCTTTTATCAATTTTCTAATAATTATTAACACCAGTAGTTTTTTCCCAATTGTGTCGACATTAACAAGTTAGTATCCAAAATTTCGTAAAGTGTTATATACAGAGTGACTTACTAAGCGCGTGTTTCTCAATATTTCATTAATTATTGAAAATTAAAATAGTCAGGGACTAAAGTTGTAGGGTTTTTTGAGTAGCATGCATGCCAATTATTTTCAAATATACAGAGTGTCCGATTTTTGCAACATCACACACAACTTATCAATACATATTTGTAAATAGAACATTTTAGCTTTTTTCTAGACTTTAATTAAAGTAGTTTATTTCTGAAATTATGATGCGATGTTGCCAAGTTATTTCAATTTTCAATGCAAAGTTCACAAAAAAAGCAATAGGGTTATTTTTAAAGTCTTCTCACAAGTTATATAAATTTGTTATATTTTGACTTTTTAATATTAATTTTTCTCTTATTTAAACACACTTATTAATATCGTTAATAATTTTGTCCTATAACTGTTAATTCTATGGAAAAATAAAGATATAAAAATAAAAAATAAAATAATAATAAAATAAGGTTTTATGGAGAGATAACTAAGGAAATGGGCTTTGCTGTGATCTAAATTAAACTGAGTACACTGATATATAAAGTGTTTCTATAAAAAAAATATATATATATAAAACATTACAAGATTGATATTTCAGTTTTTTCAGATAGAACACCCTCTATTTTATTACTGTTTCTTGCTCTATTTTGTATTCTTTGGAGTAAGATGCAGTAATAAAATATAGGGTGCTCTATTTGAAAAAAACTAAATTATCGATATTTGAAAACTGTAATGTTCTGAATTTTTCTCGATACCTTCTTAATTATTAGAAATGGAAAACAAAATTACCGATTAAAGTTGTACGGTTCTTAGAGTAGCATACACAAAATTATTTTGAACTATACAGAATGTTTTGTTCTTGAGGCAAAACTTTTTTTAATAGAATATACAGGGTATATTTTTACATATTCTTATTAGCCGCTTCCTTGGGATTTACAATCACGATTTATTTTTGAAATTCCAGTGGAATGTTGCCAAGTTATTCCAATTTTCTTCAAATTGGCAATGGAAGTGTTCACAAAAAAAATCGTTAAATGGGTTAATTTAAAAATCTGTCAATATTTCGTGCTTTGGTGTAGTACCAATTAAAGAGAATTTTATTATACAGAGTGTTTCTAAAAAATTCTAAAACTGTATAATTTTCAAATATCGATACTTCAGTTTATTCAAATAGAACAATATGTCGATGTGAACTGAAATATCCATATTTGAAAATTTTGCAACTTGTAAAACATGTAAGGTGTCTCATTTAAAAAAATTTAGTTGTGTATTACATGTTAAAAACGGAACACTCTGTATAGTTAAAACTAATTTTAGAACATAGTCCTCAAGCCCGTTAAATTGATTTCAATTGTTTTATGTAATTTGTTCCATAATATGCAAACAGGCTGTACAGTACATACATTGTGCCAATAAAATATATAGAAGAATAGATTCTTTGAATAATCATAGATAAGTAATCAATTTAACTCTTTTATACTAGTTAAAATTCTGTTTTAGTGACAATATAAAATATTGATATTTTAAACTTATAGCTAGTCGTTATATCTAGTTATAAGTTTGCAAAAAGGTATAATTCTCTCTATGATTGGATCGATAGCTTCAATTGTAACAATGTATGTCAGTGCGACTTTTAAGTCATTCAACTTAATTTTTGAGAATCGATAGTACGTTCATCTTTTGCGTGCATAATACTAACAAAATCCGAAGAGAAAACACACTTTACTAAAACAAACACACTGAAAAAAAGTTTAATTCTTTTTTAATGTTCATTATTTTGATTGTAATTTTTTTAGTTCAGTTTGTTAAATATTACATAACGTTTTATCGGAGATGAGTTTCTGAAAGAAATCTGAGCGATATGTTTCATTCATAACTCAAAATCAAAGGCTAATCCTTTAAATCTTTACAGGTTGGGGAAACAGGGAAAATTCCGCGCGATTATTGATTTGTCACTGCAGCCATTTTCCCGCATTCTGCAACTTTTCCTTACGCATTTCCACCGCTAGGGTGTGCCACCGTATTGTTGTATTCTTATCCACACCATGTGGATTACACGAAATACTTCTTTCTTTCAATAGGTGTATCATTTACCATGTAAGTAAATTATTTACACACACTGTATATATTGATGTAGGTTAGTAAATGTTGTAGCTTTTCAAGAAATAGGTCGAGATGTGATCTCACAATAAAACATCTTACTTCACAAAAAATGCCATGTTCAGAATCAGATACAGAGTAAGGAGGGCACTTCTTCCGCCTATCCTAATAGGCATTTTGATAACGCTCACTGTTATCATAATCAATAACAATGGGGCACTACTACGCAACGTCTTTTACAACTATCAGATAAATTTTCATGGTGTACCGGGCAATTATTTATCTACGAGATCGCCAAATGAGAGTTTTTGTAACTTCAGGTATGGCTTACCCGAAGAACTTCTGTACGAAGAAAGCGATTTGAGCTTCCCTTTTGAAGAAAACTTGGATAGTCGTTATCGTATTATGAAGAATGTTATAGAGGCCAAATGGGATAAAACAGTACCTGAAGTAACTTACGCAACACACGTTACTGCCGATTTCATGAACTACATTGCTGAAATCATTAGGCGAGTGATTCCATTTCATGTCATTCTATATTTATAAATTAATTTTTACAGATTTTGGGAAGGTCCTATCAGTATTGCTGCCTTCGTCCCGGATTCAGACGCTGATCTGACCATAAGGCAGCTTACACAGTTATGTTTTTGTGCTCCAGAGATGGGGCGAGTGTCAGTCCATCTAGTTTTTCCGCTCAGTGCTCCTCCTTATTTGCAGAACCATCTAGAAAAATTAACCTGTCAGCTCCCCGATTCGTCAAAACTGTCCACTTACAGAATGAGTAACGAAATTATGTACCCCATAAACATATGCCGAAACATTGCACGCAATTTCGCCCAAACTGATTTTGTTATGGTGTCTGACATTCAGTTGATTCCTAGCGAAGAATTAGCTTCTAGATTTATTAAAATGACGCAAACGTTGCATATAAAGAAGCCAAATCCTCCGTCCCGCGTTTTTGTAGTGCCTGTTTTTGAAGTAGAAGCTTACGATGTTATTCCAAGAACAAAAGACGAATTGGTGATGATGGTGAAAGAAGAAAGAGCGGTTTATTTTCATAGACATATTTGCTCACATTGCCAAAAGTTCCCAGGCATTAAAAGTTGGTTAGAACGTGATACTGGCAGTGCCAATATTAAGGTGAGTCGACCCCTGTTAAACTATCTTTTAAAAGTCTATCGATCGTAGCCTTTTGTGTCCGTCAAAAGAGAATATCCCTTTCATAGATGGGAACCCGTTTATATAGGTAGCAAAAATGATCCTCTTTATAGCGAGGCACTATCGTGGGAAGGGTTGCAAGATAAGATGACTCAGGTTGGACATTTAATTTTCATACGATAATAATATTACAGTTTTTTAGATGTTGGAGATGTGCCTTATAGGATACCAGTTCATTATTTTGGATGGTGCATTTCTCGTTCACTGGCCCGGAATAAAAAAAGAGAAGCACAAGTTTCTTTTAAAGGATACGTGGAGGTCATCTTTTCAACAGCAGAATTCCAAACACTATTCGAAAATTGTGAAAGAGTTACGCAACAAGTATGAAGATAATCCTAAATGCAAACTGCAGTAATCAAATTGTTATCAGACTGAATTTGATGATTCCTTACTTGAAGTTACTTTTTTAGTAAACCGTAGTTAAGTTAGTCTAGTTATTTGTAGAAGTTGTTATGTGGCGGTTGGGGAATTTTCCAACTGAAACAATAGATGTCTCTTACAGACAATTGTAAGTCTTGTAAGTTGGTTATGAAACGTTTGTTAAATTGAAACAAACCTGTGATGATTGCTTATTACTTTGACAAATAAATTTAACTCAGTTAAACAATTTTACGTCAAATTTAATACGTCAAAGCTCTTCAGTGTTTTATTATATTGACTCTATATTGTAAAAAATGAGAAATCTACCTATTTTAACATTGGTGTTCAATTAATAGTACAACGTTTTCTACTGCCGTAGCGTAATGCCACTTTCCATGTACAAAATGAATACGATTCAGTGTTAGTGTGTCAAAACTTTATTTTTAATTAAGTTCTGGGTAGCTATTTTGTTTAAAATGAAAATCAACGGCTCTAATTTAAAGTTGAAAAAACTACACATATCTCTAATTTGAGTGAATCTTCCTTAAAATTAAAAGAGAAAACCCGAAAATGCTTATGCATTTGCATTCCAGAGAGTTTTTACGTTACGTGGGCATTGTTGACCAGACAATGAAATTTTGGGGACAATCATTTCATTGATTCGAGGTAAATTAATTTTTTATGCACTATAGGAAAAAGTGAATTCATTGTTTGAAAGAATATAAACTTAAAAAACGTAATGTATTTTATCTTGACATATTTTTTCTCCTGCTTTTATATCTGATTGTATCGTTATGATTAATGACTTTACTACTTAAATTAAATTTTGTAGAGCAGGAAACCTTCTATCTACCCTCATAAACACATTGTATAAAGATCTTCCATAATTAAATGCGAATTTCTTTAGTGGTCATACAACATTAAAAAAATTGGATGATTTTTTTTATATATTCGTTTTTTTTTTGAGAAGTTTTGTTTTGGGGTTACAAATATTAACAATTCATGAAATATAACTTTAAATAGTTTTTGAATGGCTTTACAAATGATAAAAAAATGCGAAACCACTGAAGACCTCGAAGAACACATCAGAATTAGGAAGATTTGAAATTTAATGTTTTTAAAAGTTTGGTTCACAGATTTTTTTCGAATTCTTCAATGTACCATCGAGCTTATTCGTCACTTTTCGATCACCCCGTACATGAAGGATTTCTTGAAATATTATTTTCATTTTATTGTGTAAATAATCTCTCTGTTAAAAAGATCATTATATTTCCGATTTCAACCTTCAGTTTTGAGATGATTTTCTGGTTTGGGGAAAATGTTCAGTTCTTTAAAGTTTAAATTCGAACTTCTTTCTTTCATCGAAATTTCTGTACAACCTCTTGGTATTTTCTTTTTTGTTGATTATCGCATTTTTCGTATTTCTCAGAAAATTAAAATCCTTATGTTCCTGTTTTTTCCCGCTTTCAGTTTCCAATTTCTTTTATATTTTTACTAGCTGATGCTTATTCCTTATTATAACGTGATATTTTAAATCTAGAATTTTCTAAATCTCTGAAATAAAAATTGAAAATAAGCTTCTTTTGTATTCAGAAATTAATTAAGAAAATCCTACTAAAATGCGTATTTTTCTTCCACTATGTAATGCAAGAATAATCAAATTTCGATTAAATTAAACACAATTTTTAAACTGACCGCCATAATTTACAGGGTGAGTCACTAAGTGTGCTTTTTTCGATATTATTATTAGATATGCAAAAAAAATGGTAGAGGCTAAAGTTGTGTGGCTCTTTGAGTACCATACATTAAAATTATTTTCGACTATACAGAGTGTTTGGTTTTCGAGCCATACAACTCATTTAATTTAATATTTTAGTCTCTTCTTAAGCTTTATAATTACAGTTTATTTTTGAAATTCCGATACGCGTTGTCACGTTATTTGAATTACAAATTTTAAATATTTTCTCTAATGCAAGGTTTCATAAAAAAATGGTCCAAGGTTACTTCGACACAACTTCCCTCGCTTTTGAAGTACAGTCCAACACATTCCGTTTCTTTGAAAAATATAAAACCTTTTTGTTTTCTGATAACCTTTATGCTTATATAAAAATCTCGAAACCCCTGCGCCGCAGGGGCGCAAATTCCAATGGGGTGCCGGCTGCAGACATTCAGACAATAGGAAATTTATTCAAAGCAAATAACCAACGGAAAAGAGTCTATTATTTTATCAGTGTACAGGCTTAACGTCGATTGTTTATGTTTATACATCGAAATAATGTCTCGTAGAAATTTGTTTAATTTGAATGAGTTGTCTCCTCAAAATAATGGAACAAAATGTTTGGATATGGTTATTATTCTTATTTGATCATGGTTAAATAAAGACCTGGGTATTCTCACATTTTCTAGAAACTGAGATTTTAATTTGATCATTAAAAAAATTGGTAGAAGGCTACAAGTACAATTCCTCAAATCCAGCTCTTAAAAAAAATACAAAATTTGATTTTACGATTTTCGTTTTGTGATAACGATAACCGCTGTAAAGTAAAAACCAGCGGCATAAATAACTTGTATTGGACTGTTAAAAGTATATATCTGCGCCACGGAGACGTTCAAACTGTGTTGGGAATGAAACGTTATTATACCTTGCAAATGTTTTTGCGAAAACTTGAACGTTTAGCGAAAAAACTGAAAGTCGATTCGTACACTACAAGTATATGAGTATATTTTGGTGTAACATTCAAATCATTTTAAAATACATTAAAGCATTTAACCATCTACCTACATGATATTTATAATATACATACCAAATTTGACAACAATCGCTCCAGCAGTTTCGGAGATTACGTGTATACTATCCTCAAACGTATTTGGCGTTTATGACTTCACACCAATTTGACTCCCATTATAATTCAATAGGCCGTCACAACCGGATGTCTTAAACCCGCTCACTGATACCTACCTGAAAAGACCTTTTCTGGTAAAAGCACAGGGCAGGACTGAGTTTTGCATTTACCGACAACTGCGCCTTTCGAGTTTTTTATTTTAAGTAAAAACAAAGTAACTTTGTACTCAATCACAACTATTTACTTATTAACTACTACTGCTTATTTATTGATCGAAATAGTCACTGTCATCATCACTCGACTCTTCTAAATTAATAATTAACGGTGTTATCAACCGTGCCCTGTACTGGTCTTCTTCTTTTGTGGAATGTCGTACACAATTGGCCCACATTTCGGCAGTTATTTTGGAAACTTCTTCCCTAATAATGTCAATTGTTGCACTACTAAATTTTGGTGCCGTATTATTCCTTCTTATATTATTTTTCATTTGCGACCAGATTAGTTCGATGGGGTTAAATATACAATGGTACGGCGGAAGTCTAATCACCCTAAATCCACGATCTCGCGCCATAGCATCTATTTTATATTGTTTCTCAAATTTTCTAGTGTGTAACATTTCTAATAATTGTGTCAAATTCGCTCCGAAGCCAGGTAGGTACAAGCATTAAGGATTATATTGTTTGAGAAGTATTTCTTGGAAGTGGTTAACGACTTAAATCCGGTCCCTTATTATTTTCGGTAAATTCCGTTATTTAAGTGTATTAAAAGTATGTTTGAGACGTTATCCTGTTACTTTTCAACTTGAGTTTGCTTTGAAAGCATTTAAAACAGTACACGTGTGTCAATATGTCGAAGATAACTCAAATTAATTTATAGATTAAATCTTTTCCTGAATTTATTCTTCAAGAAGGCACTGTGTTTTGTAGCTTCTGCTACAAACCGCATTTCTACTTACAAATATATGTTTTTGGGATCACCGGCAAAATTTTTTGCTACAATATTTCGAAAAGTATTTAAAAATAAATTGTTACAAAAATACTAATTAAATGGCCTGTTATTATTTTTTTTTATTTATTTGTCACTATTTAATGTAAGACAATAATTTTTAAAAATTTTAACAAACAAAATTACTCTGAGTCCGTTCCTTCGCGTCTCGACCGTCCCTGGCACGTGGCATGGTTTACATTTACTAAGTTTTATGAAGGGTCGGCTGTAAAGTACTTTAAACGTCAAAGCCATAAACGCCAAATATCTTTGAGGATAGTATATAATAAAAATGGATATAGACAGACAGACACACAAACAGGCGACGGAAACGGGAGACTACATTTTTTTTACTGTAGGGGATATGAAACGTCGAGAAAACATAACAGTGGTCATTTGTCAGATAAACTCGATTACAATATGAACCCACTGGACAACTCAAAGAAATTTGGTAAGAAAATCCCTGAATTCAAAAATATTAAAGTTCAGAGTTGAAGAATTAACTTCGTAATTCTTATTTGTTTTAATGTACTGCCTGTCTAAATACACAAATAAATATTTATTATTAATAATTTAATAATAATTTGCTGGATTACCATGCACGGATACATTTTTGCTACTGTCAGATGTGACTTAAATTTGCATTAAAACATATCCGAATTACGAAGTTAATTCTTCAAATTTGAAATTTAATATTTTCAAAAGTTTGGTTCAGGTATTTTTTGAACCATTTTTTCGAGTTCTTCAATCAGAAGGATTTCTTGACATATGTTTTCATTTTGTTGTATAAATAATCACTCTGTTAAAATATCATTATATTTCCGGTTTCAATTTTCAATTTTCAGATAATTTTCTGATTTGGCGAAAATGTTCAGTTTTTTAAAGTTTAAATTCGAAGTATTTTCTTTTATCGAAATTTCTGTACAACTTTTTGTAATTTCTTTTTTGTTGATTATCGCATTTTTCATATTTCTCAGAAAATTAAAATCCTCATCTTTTTGATTTTCGTCCCTTTCAGTTTTCATTTCTTATATACTTTAATATTTTTACTAGCTGATGCCTATTCCTTATTATGACATGATACCTTTAATTGAAACAGGTCAAATATCTATTATTGCCCAAAATATGATGACCGAATTTTCTAAATCTCTGCGATAAAAATTCAAAATAAGCTACATTTGTAATCAGCAAATAGGTAATTAAGAAAACTCTACTAAAGTGCGTATTTTTCTTCCACTATATCATGCAAGAATAATCAAATTTCCATGCAATTAAATACAACTTTACAAGGTAGAGGCTAAAGTTGTGTGGCTCTTCGACTATATAGAGTGTTTTGTTCTCGAGCCATACAACTCAGTTTATTTAAGACAGAATACCTTATATATTTGTATATATTCTTATTAGTCTCTCAGTAACCTTTATAACCACAGTTAATTTTTGAAATTCCGATGCGACGTTGCCATGTTATACGAATTACATATTTTAAATTTCTTCACTAATGCAAGGCTTCACAAAAAATCACAGTAACCTTATTTTTAAAATCTGTGATCCAGTATTTTATTTTAGGGAGAGATAAACAGAGATAGACGGTTTGTTATAGTGTCACTTAAATAAAATTTGAATATACAGAGTGTTCATAGAAAATAAACTTCACAATTTTCAAAAATCGGAATTTCAGTTTTTTTGGATACAACACCCTATATTTTATTACTGCTGTTTAGTCAATTTTTTGTTTTCTTTTTTTGAATATGTCTGTGTATCCATTATAAAACTAAAAAATATCAATAAATCATTAAACAGAATAAATTGCAATAATAAATTTCAAATTCAATTCGAAAAAACTAAAATATCAATATTTGACGATTGTTATAATTTATTTTTTTATAAGCTCGTCTTTATTTATCTCTCCACAAAATAAAGTATCCCAGATTTTAAAAATAACCCTATTCAGATTTTTTGTGAGGCCTTTCATTGTTAAAAAATTTCAAGCAAATTGAAATAACGTCGTATGAGAATTTAAAAAATAAACTGTGAATATAAAGGCTAAATTAGAATAATTATAAATATATATAGAGTATGCTCTCTAAAAAATGAAGTTGCAACAACAGAACTCTCAGTAAAGTTGGAAATAATTTTAGTATATGGTACTCGAAGAACTATAATACAACTTTCGTCTTCTCTAATTATAGTTACTGGGATCGAGAAGAGCGTATTTAGTGACTCACTCTATATAGATAGAATGTAATTTTTGAATTATTTTTGGACGCATGGTTTCTAAAATAATGGTGGATTTTATTGCTAATATTTTTACATATTCTTATACTGTGTGTTCAAAAAAGCGCAGACCTGTAGTTGTTTTACTTCTGTCGAGTACATCATCGTGTGATATGTCCAATGAAAAACTTTCAAGGACACTAAGTACGATCTAATTTGGAAACTTAATATTTAATGTTCAGATGTTTTTGTCTACGACATACAGCTTTTTTACTTCCCGAGCGCAGGCGAAGGAAGTATTGTAATCGAGTCTGTCTGTTTGTCTACCTGTCTGTCCGTCTGTCCTTCCGTTTGTCCGTACGTCTGTCCGTCCGTCCGTCCGTCCGTCCGTCCGTCCGTCCGTCCGTCTGTCCGTCTGTCCGTCCGTCTGCCGTCACGGTTTTTATTAGGCAGATAATCTCCGAAAGTACTGGGCCAATTGTTGTCAAATTTTGTATTTATATTAGGAATATCATGTAGATGGTAAAATGCTAATCAAAATTTCTCTAGTCATCCCCACCCCTAATGTGATGACGTCACTTCAAAATTGTACATAGCAAATGGGTTTTAAATTGTATAAAATAACATAGTCCTAAACATGTAGTTTATGACTTCGAATAGAGTTTTTACCCAAAACGTCCACATTTTTGGAAAAAAAGATCAAAATTATAAAACAACATTTTGTTAAACCGAATGCTTTGAAATCTTGCAGATGTTTTAAAGTTATCATCAACATGGTAAATTTTTGATCAAAATGTATTGGCTCATCCCCTCTAAAAAATTGATGACGTCACCCCAAAATTTTGCTGAATAAATCCTACCTAAAATGTACAAAATATTATGAGCCTGTACTTGTGATTTATCATTCCATTAATATTTTTTGGATTTGCGTATACAGAGTGACTCAAAAAATTATCATTGTATTTCAGGAGCGAGACAAATTCTGTCGAAACAACTGCATACATTTAGGGATTCTTGTAGAGATTTTTTATGAATTCATTGATGTATTATAATATCATATCTTGTTAAAAAGTTGTGGTAAAAATTAACTTAATTTTTGGGTCAAGAAGCCGTGATGAGGTTAGTAACATAATTATTTGGGTGTACAGAGTGTCACAGAAAAAAATTTTGCGATCTCATATCTTGAGAACGGATGGAGATATTGAAATTCTGTAAACGCCATTGTCTTTAGCTTTAAGGGCGAGATTAACTTAGTATATTGCAAATTTTGCTATTTAAATTTGAAAATCAAATATTTTTTCTACACAATAATAATAATTTTCTACTTACCAATTATTATTGTTTGAAAATATTAATGCATGACCAATGAATTAATGAAAAAAACCTCTAAAAGTAATTTCTATGTTATTCTACATGGAACCCATAATCCTGATTTGTTTGTTGTTACTCCTACATTACTTATATGTAACCAGAATCTAACAGTGTTTTTCTCGAGTGAAACAAGCAAGAAGAAAAAAATTATTTTCGCTTATTCAGAAGAATATAAAAAATGTATTTTTTTATAAATGTTAAATGTCCTGAAGTAAACACTAACAAAACTTTGGTTGAGAACGGATTTTTACATCTCCACTTCATCAATGTTTTAAACCGAGATAGTATGTATACGCAATTTTGTTTTGGTGAATTAGTTTTTTCCTAAGCTGCTTACTAATTTTTTGCAGCTGTTATTAAAAGAGTTTCATAATTACCTAATGTGGGTATAAGTCTCACAAAATATTTTATCCACCCTCTTTTCCTCTTGTTTTCTAAAATTAATTACAGAAATGTAAAAGAGTATTTAAAGCCTGCCGTAGAATATTTTCACAATTTAATTCTCAGCAAATATCAACCCTCCAGAATCGTCATCCAGATTATTCTGAAAACCCTTTGACTCCGAAATTAGTAGAGTAAATTAATAAAAAAAAAAAAAATACAAAGTCCAGAGTACTGAGTGAATGCAGCTAATTATACAAGATTGCTACGGAAATGAAAGAACTGAAATGATACAGAAACAGAAACCAGCTGTGCACTGAACAACATTTTGCAAGGTATTTCAATTAAGTTTAAAATTAATGAAGCGTCGAACTTAACAGAAAGTTCTGTTTACTTCCTCAACAAATTTCCAATGCAGCTTAATTGAAATAACACATGGAGTAACATAGTTTAATCAAAATATAATCACAAAACTGGTTTCAGTACTAAAAATAGTAACTTTGCTTAAAAATGTTTTCGATGACGTCATCAGCTGCTTGGTGGGGATAAATATGTATCATATCGCTACCGCGTAAATAATGGATTAAATCGGTTCGGTGAAGACGTGGAAAGTAAGAACACGGAATGAAACATTTGTGAAAATGTATCTAATATATTTCTTTATGAAGTAAAGTCAGTTCAATTTTTGCAATAACCCGTAATCCAGCTCTTAACATGAACTACAAGTTATAAATTTTGACAGCCAATAATTTGAGTGAAGTTGTAAAAACTTATAGGGTATAAGAGCTGTCTTAAATTTGCTTAGTTGAGTTTCCGCAAGATGAAGGTGCTCAACCTAGCTATTTTCTTTTCAATAAGTTCATTTCCACACCGTACCATAAACTCCATACCAACTGTAGCGCTTAATGCCGTAACCCCAATAAACTCGATACAAATTGCCCCTGCAGAGGTGGACAAATCGGAAAATGTAACAGAAAATAGTGTGACGGAAAACCCAGATGATGCAGAAACAATCACCAGACGGCCTGTAAAATTAAATATGAGACAAGGATTGCTTATGAACCAAGTTGTGGCTGTGTACGCTCTGGGAGAAGAATCTAATCAGCTTTGCAAGAACCATTCCAAGGAGCTTAATATTGGTCTAAGAGCGTTGGAGCCCTGGGCTTTGAAAAGCAAATATATTTTTTACAAAAAGGTAAGGGCAAAAGTAACATTGTGTGTTTTAGTGTTCGACTCCTCGTCTAAGTTGCAAGCGGGAATCTTGGATGGGAATTTATTTGAATTTGGAGCTTTCCAGCAGTGTTTGCACATATACAAAGATTCCCGTTATGGACCCATCAGGGGTAAATTCTGCTCGTTAAAAATTATTCCAGACGTTCAGCTTTTAAAGAAAATTTTAGAGTTTCGGAATATATCGAGCAAAGTAAGATTTTATTAGGGCTTTGTCGGTGGTTTTCAATCAAAGAGATGCGAATCAATCAGAAAAAGCGAGAAATTGTTTTCGGAGTGTTTTTGATTAAATTCTACGGTTGACATTAATTTGTTTTTTCGGTGAGAAGATTAACGGGGTTTGATATTTGATCGCATGGAAGTGATTTCGTGACCGAAAATTAATCGAAGTATGATGGATGAATGTATTGCATACTATTATTAATTCTCGCGATGTCTTACACTTCCCGTTTTGGTGTTTTTACTAAAAAACTAAAACGTTACTAAAAACAGTTTTTCTACTCATTACCTAAAAAATTAATGACGCCCTCTGAAAATATTGCTAAATACATCTTGCCTGAATTGTGTAGCATAGCATACTCCTTTACTACCTCTTCCATCTATTTTTATCTTCACGTATAAGAGTTATCCTAAAAAAGGTTGGACCATCAAATTTTACATGTAATTTAATATTATTACATTACATAGCGGGATTTATTAGAAATTTTGGCAGGTTACGAACATAGATTTAAATATTATAGACCTAAAACTACATATTTTTCATTTATTTTTTACAGTAAATTTTTGATACAAAATAAATACCCTGCGATATACTGAGATATTGTTTCTCTCTTAGTTTCAATTAAAACAAAATATAGTTGTTAAAGCATTTAGTATTGACTTTAAATTAAAGCGCAGACGTGACTGCAGCCGCTGCTGCTCAATATTGACGTCTGCGATTTACTTGTTAAAAATTCGTGAGGTCAAAGTCGATTTTTAGCTCATGCATGTCGTTGTACGTTCAGGGTGACGTAGCTGTCTTGGCTGCAAAGGCACGTTGACATTAACGTCAGTGTTGTCGACCTGTTTTTTACGAATGGAGGTGCTCATAAATAATAAAATGCGTTAGTTTCTGCAGGCAGAAAGTGTCCTATTTTTTCACAAAGCTTTTATTAAAGAGTTTTCTCCTTTGTAAAACAATGTAGACGCCCAGATTTGAAAATTTGTCTCGATGTAAGAGAATGGTATGCAAAATATCGCTTAAAATTCTTCACATTTTAATAATCCATATATATATTAAGTATTCACAAAATTGGTGGAAGGTTATTTCGATAGAACTTCTCTCGCCACTGAAGTAAATTTTATAAATTTTTGCGATTTTTGATTTCTGATAATTTTTCGATTCTTTAATTTTGCAAATAATGAATTTGCAATTTTTCGTTCGACTTTTTATTTACTTTATTTTTACAATTTTTCGATATTTACATGTTCCGATTTTATCATTTTTATTTTGTCAATTTCAATGTTTTCAATTTTTCGTTTCTTAAATTTTTCAGTTTGCAATTTTTCAATTTTTATTTTTTTTTTTGTTTCTTCATTCGGGTTTTCATTTTTAACTTCAGGTTTTCTATTTTACAACTTTTGAATATTTCAGTTTTTAATACTTTTTAGATTTTACAATTTCGATTACCAATTTCATGAGTTTCAATTTTTAATTTTTCAATTTTTTATTCCTTCAATTTTTCGATTTGCAATTTTTCGTTTGGGCTTTTCATTTTCTTTATTTTTTTAGTTTTTTGGTTTTTCAATGTTCTGATGTTATAATTTTGCTTACTTTCAGTGTGAAAATTTTCAATTTTTGGATATATCAATATTTCAGGTTCCAATTTTTCGATTTTCGACTATTTGCAAATTCTCGTTTTTTTCAATTCTTTCAGTTTTTCGATCTTTCAATTTTTCCTTTGTTCAGTTTTTCGATTTGCAATAATTTTTCGTTTCGGTTTTTCATTTTCTTTATTTTTGAAATTTTTCCGTTTTTCAAGATTCTGATTTTATAATTTTCCCTTTTTTCAATGTGAAATTTTTCAGTTTTTGGATTTTTCAATATTTCGATTTGCAATTTTTCGATTTTCCAATTTTCCATTTCTTCAAGTTTTCGACTTGCAATTTTTCGTTTGGGATTTTCATTTTCTTTAATTTTTCAATTTTTCGGTTTTTCAAGGTTCTGATTTTATAATTTTTTTTTATTTTCAATGTGAAATTTTTCAATTTTTGGATATTTCAATAGTTCAAATTGTAGTTTTTCAGTTTTCAATTTTTTGATATTGCAATTTTTTTTGATTTTTCAGTTTTTCGTTTCCCCAATTTTTGATCTGCAATTTTTCTATTTCATTTTAAATAGGCAATAATAATTCTAATTTTTAAAAATTTTTCATTTACTCGATTTTTTGAATTTTTCGATATTTCATTTTTCAGTTTTTCGATCTTTCACTGTTACAGTTTTTCGACTTTACAATTTTGACGATTCTATAATTTTTACAATTTTTGAGTTGTCCAATTTTTCAACTCGATTCTTTTTTTTTTTTCTTTCCAGTTTTTCGATTCATTATTTTTTTTCGATTTTTAAGTTTGTCGGTAAAATCTTTCCAATCTTTCAATTTTTCGTTTCTCAAGTTCCTCGACTTTGAATTTTTGTTTGATTTTGCAAAAAGTTGTTTTCTCAGTTTCTCGATTTTTCAATTCTTTACGCTTTTTCAGTTTTCCGATTTTTCAATTTTTCATTTCTTCAGTTTTTCCATTTGCAATTTTTGGTTTCGGTTTTTCATTTTTTTATTTTTTCAATTTTTCGGTTTTTCAAGATTCTGATTTTATAATTTTCTGTTTTTTCAACGTGAAATTTTTCAGTTTTTGGATTTTTCAATATTTCGATTTGCAATGTTTCAGTTTTCTATTTCTTCAATTTTTCGATTTGCAATTTTTCGTCTGGGCTTTTCATTTTCTTTATTTTTTCAATTTTTCAGTTTTTCAAGGTTCTGATTTTATAATTTTCCGTTTTTTCAATGTGAAATTTTTCTGTTTTTAGATATTTCAACATTTCAATTTGCAGTTTTTCGGTTTTCAATTTTTCGGTTTTCCAACTTTTTTTTAGAGTTTTCACTTTTTCTTTTCCTCAATTTTTGATTTGCAATTTTTCTAGCCAATAATAATTATTATTTAAAAAAAATCACTTTCTCAAGTTGACCATTCTAGAATTTTTCCATTTACAATTATTGGATTTTTACACTTTTTCATTTATTCGATTTTTTCAATTTTTCGGTTTTTAATTTTTCAATTTTAGGTATTTAATTTTTCAACTTTTCGATCTTTCACTATTACAGTTTTTTGACTCTAACAATTTTGACGATTCTATAATTTTTACAATTTTCGGATCTTCCAATTTTTCGACTCGATTCGTGTTTTTCTCTTTCCAGTTTTTCGATTCATTAATTTTTTTCGATTTTTAAGTTTCTCGGTATTGAGTTTTCCAATCTTTCAATTTTTCGTTTTTCAAGTTCTTTGACTTGCAATTTTTCGATTTTTAACTTCTTTGATTTTGAAAATTCTAGTTTTTTCAGTTTCTCGATTTTTCAATTCTTTCCTATTTTTCAGTTTTCGATTTTTCAATTTTTCGTTTCGGTTATTTTCTTTATTTTTTCAATTTTTCGGTCTTTCAAGGTTCTGATTTTATAATTTTCCGTCGTTTCAATGTGAAATTTCTCAATTTTTGGATTTTTCAATATTTGGATTTGCAAATTTTCGGTTTTCAATTTTTCGTTTCTTCAATTTTTGATTTGTAATTTCTCTAGTTTTTATTTTAATGTGTAATAATAATTCTAATTTTTAAAAGTTTTCATTTTCTTAAATTTACGATTTTAGAATTTTCCATTTTTCAAGTATTGGATTTTGAAACTTTTTCATTTAATCGAATTTTTAATTATTCAATTGTTAATTTTTGGAATTTAATATTCGAATTTCTGCATATTTACTTTTTCTGTAATTATACATATTTCTATAATTTTTCGATTTTACTGTTTTGAGTTTTCCGATTTTTCGAATCGAATCGTTTTTCCTTCTTTTTAATTTTTCGGTTGATTTATTTTTTTCGATTTTGTAATTTCCCATATTTTCAGTTCCTCGATTTTTCGATCTCTTCCGATTTTTTAATTTTTCGATTTTTAATTTTTCGATTTTTCATCTTTTCGAAGGAAAAAATGGAAAAAATGCAAAATTAAAAAATCAAAAACGAAAAAGCTATATATAAAATGAAAATACCTGAAAACTGGAAATCAAGAACTTGAAAAATTGAAGAAACGAAAATTTGAAAAATCGAAAGATTAAAAATTAAGAAATTAAAAAATAGAAAAAGTAAAAATCGATAAAACGAAATATTGGAAAAGCGATCATTGAGAAATCAAAAATTTTAAAATTTAAAAATTGAAGAATTAAAGGTTGAAAATTTAAAAAATTGAATAAACGAAAAATTATAAAATCGAATTAAACGTAGAAATAAATAAAGGAAATGAAAAATCTGGAAGTCTAAATATTAAAAATTGGTCTAAAGAGTTTAGACAGTACTTCCCTCGCTATCGGAAACGTGACGACTGCATGCCTATTATGTTTTTTTTCGCATTAGATTTCAAAGCATTCGGTTTTGTAGTTCTTGATTAAATCAATAAAATAAATTTGCGCATTCATTAAATTTTTTGAGTCACCCTGTATATGCAAATGCAAAAAATATGAATGGAATGATACATTACAAGAACAGACTCATCATATTTTGTACATTTTAGATAGGATTATTCGGAAAAATTTTGAGCTGACGTCATCAATTTTTTGGAGGGGATAAGCAAATATATTTTTACTAAAAATTTATTATGCTCTTTATAACCTTAAGGCTATAAAGAGCATAATAAATTTGAACTGTTTTAAAACATTTGCAAGATTTCAAAGCATTCGTTTCTGTAGTTCCTGATTAAATCAATAAAATAAATTTACCCATTCATTAATTTTTTGGGCCACCCTGTATATGCATATCCAAAAAATATGAATGGAGTGATAAATCACAAGAAGAGACTCATCATATTTTGTACATTTTAGATTCAGCAAAATTTTTGGGTGACGTCATCAATTTTTTGGAGGGGATAACAAAATATATTATGATTAAAACTATATCATGCTTATCATAACTGTAAACCATCTCCAAGATTTCAAAGCGTTCGGTTTTGTAGATTCCAAATTAAATGTCAAAATGTTGTTTCCTAATTTTGATTTTTTTTTCCGACGTTTCGGGTAAAATCTCAATTCGGAGTCATAAACTACATGTGTAAGACTATGCTACACTCACCGGCAAAAAAATCGAATCATTAGTATTTTTGTAGAAATCTTCAATAAATTCTGGTGTGCGTCACATTTATAAGACAAATTAGTTTATCTAGGACAAAGGAGATGAAAAGGTAACGGGACCTTCGCTGAAGTTGCAACAATTACGAGTTTATTAAAAAATACCAGAAAATCCATTACATTAAACCAACAAAAGACTACTTAACATATCATTATTAACGACTGTTGCCGCCTCTAGCTTGCATTACGGTTGCCATACGTCTTCCCATGCCTTCTATGAGGTGTCTAATCTCAGCCTGGGCTAATTGGTCAAATTCTTCAACTAGCGCATTTGCAAGATCTCTTATGTGTTGTACGGCCGGCACACGTACTCTGATACGTATACCTAACATGTCCCACACATGCTCAATTGGATTCAGGTCGGGACTGCGTGCTGGTCATTCCATACGTGAAATCCCGAATTCGTCGAGGTAGGTTTGTACAACTCTAACGATGTGGTCAAGCATTATCATGCATTAGAATAAAATTATCGCCAATAAAAGGAGCAAAAGGTACGACATGCTCTTGAAGAAAATTTGCTACATATCGATCAGCATTCATTGTGCCTCTATCCACCACTACAAGTTCCGTGCGAGCCTCGGCAGAAATTCCTGCCCAGACCATCACTGAACCTCCATGAAAACTGAGTCTGAAACAATATTGCACTGAGCCTACCTTTCGCCTCTTCTTCGCCATACTCTTTGACGGCCGTCAGGAGAACGTAGACAAAAACGCGACTCATCTGTAAAGAGTACTTGGCCCCATTGGGCAAGATCCGAGTTAACGTGTTCTCGAACAAATGCAAGTCGGGCTACTCTGTGTCGTGGGAGAAGTTCTGGGCCACTTGCAGGTCTACGGGCCTTCAATTCAGCTGCAGTTAACCTTTTTCTTACAGTTCTTTCACTTACACTAACTCCTCGTGTTTCTTCAAGTTGATTTCTGGCCTCAACTGCGGTCGTATCCCTATTACGGAACACGGTCAGCGTTAAAAAACGGTCATCCCGAGCCGATGTTTTCTTTGGACGACCCGAATCAGGTCTTCGGCTGTATGATCCAGTCTCATTAAACCGTCGTACGGTTCTGTGAATGCTCACTTGTGATACCCTTAACGTATTGGCAACGTACCGTTAATTTCGACCATCCTGAATAAGAGCAATTGCTCGTGCTGCATTAATGGCCACAATAGTCATGTTAATTGACAAAAACACAGTTTTCATCAAATCACAATAACAAACCGTCTGTTAATGCCCTCTAAACGTCACAACTGCAAATCTCATTGTTGGAAAAAACTTATCATCTTCATTTGAGGTTCATATCATGTACAAAAAAGAACCACAAACCTAGTGTTAGTATATTTTGTGTGATTTTTTCAAAACTGATATTGACTGTAGCCAAACGTTTAAAAAAGGAACCATTTTCAATACAAACTTTGGGTGATTCGCTTTTTTTGCCGGTGAGTGTATTTGATACAATTTAAAACCCAATTATTATGTACAATTTTGAAGTGACGTCATCACATTAGTGGAGGGGATGATTAGACAAATTTTGGTTAGCGTTTTACCATCTACATAATATAGCTAATATAAATACGAAATTTGACAACAATCGGCCCTGTACTTTCGGAGATTGTATGTCTAATAAAAATCCGGGACGGCAGAGAGACGGACAGACGGACAGACGGACAGACAGACAGATGGACAGACGGACAGACAGACGGAAACGGGAGAGCTATTTCTTCGTACTCTAGGGGTCATGAAAGACCGAGAAATTGTAAAAGTAAAAAGTCGGCCGACGGACTCGATTACAATACTTCCTTAGCTTACGCTCGGGAAGTAAAAATTGAAAAAATTAAAGATGAAGAGACGAAAAATTATAAAACCGGAACAATGAAAAATGGTAAATTGAAAAAATAAAGAAAACGAAAACATGAAAAATTGTAATTTCAAAAAATTGCACAATCGAAGAAAATGGAAAAACGAAAAATTGTGATAACAAACAATTGGTCGTAATAAATGCAAATTTTATTTTTTATGGTAACTCTTATAAATTAAAAAAAAATTACCACGATTACAATAACCTAAAAACGTTTGTAAGATTTCAGAGCATTTGGTTTAGGGTAAAAATTGAACACGGATTCTCTCATTTTATAAAACTGAAGTAATATTTATAAATGCAAATTTTGGAGATGACGTCATCTTATTGTCGGTGGGGATATGTTTATCTAAATTTTGGTCAGCGTTTTACATCTATACAATATTTTCTATCACACAATCGGTCAAGTAGTTTCAGATATTGCCTGTCTTTTAAAAATTCGGGCAGACGGTAGACAGGCAGCCAGACGGAAACGGGGAACCTATTTTTTCGTATTCTTAGGAGTCATGAAACGTCGAAACGACATAAAAGTAGCTACTCGTCCAATGGACTCGATTACAATACTTTCTTAGCTTAGGTTCAGAAAGTAAAAAATAAAGTAAAATAAAACCTTAGGTAGTGTAGGCTTGTATGAGTTTAGATAAGAAGATGTTTAAGTATTTCTAAAATAAACTTAGTTTAACCTTGATTTTTCATGGATTAATTTTAACAAATTCAATTCGAATCTTCAAAATCTTAAAATTTTTATAACCTCTATACATATCATTTCGTAAAAATAATACAGACACATTAAGCTCATTATCTGATAACTCGTTCTGGGTGAACAATTTTAACATTTTCAAATTAAAAATTTTACATACATCCTGGAATACTATTTTCGTCATGCAGACGGATAAAAACTTAAATTAAAAGGTTTTGCTAAAAATAAATCACCTAGTCACTAATTGTTTTCTGTCTGGTGTAGTTATTGCTTATCGATTTATAATAATGTTGTTTGTAGGTTTATACCGACACCGTGGGGTGATGACATTTAATTCAAGCGCATATTTCGGCTGTAAATCACAATATTCCATTAGCGCTTGAATCATTATGATTGACTGATAAAGATTGGAGAATTAATAGTTTATTGGTTGCACAGGAAACAGGATTTCATTATGTTACCCAGGATATAACGTGTAATTGAAACAATGCAATATAGATAACACACATATTAGGATAACTACAATACTGCGAAAACGGAATAACTAAGATATATTTGTCTTTTTTTGGGACGAGTAATCTGAATTTGTGGTACGGTGTTATTAGCCTACTCAAATCAATCTTTTAATAATATAATGTGTAATTTATTCCTACTAGATCGTTGGAACCTGTATTTATCCCCACTAAAAAGTCGATGACGTCATGTGTCTAAGAAACTCGATTTATTTAATTGTGTATGTTTCAGAGATAAGAGAATGTGTGTCTAAATATTTTTGTAAAATCTGTACTTTAAAAAAGTTCTGCAATTACTTAAACCAATTTAAAACAATAGAAGAACTGCGATCAAAAGAAAACTTTCGTCTACTAATTTATTAATTGACAATTGCTTGTTTAAGAGATTTGGAAAAGTTTACCAGTTCGTCAGCAACGCCGCCCTCGCATGGTCAGTTTGCGTCCCAGCTTCTTGTAATTCGCACGATGTTTACAAGCACTTTTCCAAATCAATTTATCCTTTAACAGAAGGTCTGAACGTGACGATATCTTTCCGAGATGAAGATTGTGTAACAATTTCCGACGAAGTGCCACTTAATAGAACAGAATTATTAATAATGTACAATCATCTAGCTCACTCATTTTCCGTATTGACCTAATGTTATTCCAGCGTTTTACTGGCTTTATTTATTGCAATTGTGGTCCTTTGCTCTGTTATCGACTTATTATACTCGGCTCCCGATGGTAATTTGCTGATATATTGAATTAAGATACCAAAATCGTTTATTTGTTGCAGAATCCAACAATAAATTGGTGGATGCATTCTCTGCTTGTGCGAATTCCAGGCGCATATTTGCCAGAGGGGGTGGTAATTCTGACCTGGATTGCTTGCACGGAATTCGTGTCTTGAGTACCTGTTACGTTGTCATCGGACATAGATATCTCATGTTGATGTTTTTTCCTGTTGTTAATAGCTTGAAAATTATGGATGTACGTCTGATTCCAGCGACGTAGAAGAATTTAATTTCAGTCTGTTTTTCAAGTGGGTTTTGTACTACAGAAGCACGGCGATTACAGGAGGCACTCTTTGCGTTGATACATTTTTCATGATAAGTGGGATGCTGGTGAGCGTAGGCTTTTTTCAGGAAGTAAAAAAATCCGGAAGGATGAATTGGATTGTTTTTTATTTATATCGCTATATGAGAATAACACCTCCTCTAGCCATAGTTGTCCTGTGCTACTCCACTCTAGTTCATCATTTAGGATCAGGACCTTTGTGGCGTGACATGTTGGATATATTGCAGAAACCATGTCAGGAATACTGGTGGGCTACGATATTGCACATACAGAACTATGTGCATCCATTTCCTTTGGTGAGCTGTGTAATGTTGTGGAAATAATTTGAGTGATGACCGAACGGTCAAATCCGAAAAGTTGTTTACGAAGTTCCCTTTGACCAGCGGAGTTAATTATGACGTCCAATTTAATTAAAAACACCTCCCTACTAATATTGATTTTAGAATAATACAACAATATGGTGTATTGTGTTTAGGGTGCTCTTTTTACAATTTTAACAATTAGTAACGAGAATGTGATAGGCGGTTTTAATAGATTACTTGGACTAAAGAAATTTTAAGCTAAATTTATCAAGGATAAAAAGCCCGATAACAGATAACCCATTAAATGTTGGAAGTTAGTTGAAACTTATAATGCTTCGATCCGTTTCAGCACTTGTTATACATGTGAGGTTTCTGGCAAAAAAACTTTCACTTTATATGTTAAGTTTCTTAAAAACTTCTAGTGGAAAAGTACAAAATGTTTTAAACATATTCTGTAACGAAGTGCAAAGCAGATTAAATTTTAACGGAGTTTATAATTTAAAAAATTTAAATAATAGAGAATATTCAAAGGTAATATACCCAATAATGTCAGAACTGAATTAAAACTGGAACGACTTTTAATTTAATTTTCTTCCACTTCTTCCATTCACTAAGATTAGCAACACTTGAACTCATTTTATGAAATTACTTGCCTTTAAATGACCAAAAAATTTTAACAAAGCGTATTAGCAAATATTTTATTCAGAACAGTGTATTATGAAAACCACAATAAAAGCACAAAATGGTGGACAAATTCAATTTTTGAAATTAAAGTACTTAAGCTAATTTATTATTATTTCTGGTGAAAGTCAAACAAGACTGTCATTTGAAAACATTGTGTTCATGTAGTTTTTCTCCTTTGGGAAGTAAGTCAACTAAATCAGATTATTTTTATTTCAGGAATGAGTTTAATTTTATTACTAAAACACATCGTAACAGAATAATTAGTAGTGGCCGATGGGTGGGTGGTTTTTATTTAAAACCCACTTTGAAAAAAATCTATAAATTCTTGACGCTATCTAATTTTTATTTTTAAAATACTCTTACTAAGTGGCGGTTTTCTAAATCAGTCACCTATTATAACATGAAAAGCGTTATTTATAATTCCGATATATTTAGTGCATGTTTCAGGGTTGTTTGTTATTTATAACGTAATTCTAGCAAAATACACCCCCGCTAGTTTATTTAGTCTATGTCGGTAAATAAGTTTTCAGTAAATAGATTATCTAAATTACAATTAATACTGCCTGAGATTGACACTTTGAAATAAAGTTGATGATTTCTTAATTTAGTACTCTGAAAATCACTTTATCTGAGAAAATAACTGATGGCTTCAACAAATAAATAACACACTTTAACTACAATATTTTGTTTAAAAATACAATAAAACCAGCAAATGATCATTATTAGTACCTTTGGCTGTTTTTTTATAACACAAAAAAAAAATTGGTCTAAAGAGTTTAGACAGTACTTCCCTCGCTGTCGGAAACTTGACGACTGCATGCCTATTGTGTTTTTTTTCTCATTACATTTTTGTAGTGGGAATTTAAAAAAAAATTGGGATGACGTCATCAACATTTTTGCAAGGACACGTATATCAGTTGGGATAGATGTAGTGTAATACTAAGAATAAAATTATTATATTCTCAAATTTTCGGGAAAATGAACTGGGTCGTTTGAATATTGATTTGTAATAATCAATAAAATAACGAAACAATTTACTCACGTATACCTACGTATCAGAGGCAACTGAAAATCGTGTATGTATAAACATTCTTAATTTAAGATGACAGGCGTAACAGCATACGCGAGAGCCAAACAGAGAAACTGTAAACAAAACGACCGTCGGTTTTATTGCTTCGACTTCCGCTTATTATATAAAACATTGGGTTTTATTTTAATTCTTGACGGTGAAATTCACAATTGGTTGATTATAAACATGTCTATTTCACATTCGCGGAATCAAGTGAGCGCATAAAACAAATGCAGGTCTGTAATGTTAAAGTCGATGTAAATAAGCGTGCTACCCTTATGTTTCAACCGAGTTTTTCCTTTAACAAATTTTGTGTCTACCAAATTGGGTTGGTTGGGGTGTAATACTAATAATAAGTGTTGCCTTTAATTTAATCAATAAAATAAATTGACTTCATTAATTTTTTTGAACCACCTCTTAAGAAAATCTAAAAAATATGAATGGAATGATAAATCACAAGTACAAACTCATCATATTTTTTGCATTTTAGATAGGATTTATTCAGCAAAATTTAAGGGTGACGTCATCAATTTTTTTAGGAGGGATGAACAAATACATTTTGAACAAAAGTTTACCATTCTTATAATAACTTTAAAATATTCCCAAGATTTCAAAGCATTCGGTTTTGTAATTCCTGATTAAATCGATAAAATAAATTCACGCCTTCATTAATTTTTTTGAGTCACCCTGCATATGCAAATCCAAAAATATGAATGGAATGATAAATCACAAGTACAGACTCATCATATTTTGTACATTGTAGATACGATTTATTCGGAAAACTTTTGAGCTGACCTCATCAGTTTTTTGTAGAAGATAACCAAATATATTTTGACTAAAAATTTATTATGCTCTTTATAACCTTAAAACATCTGCAAGATTTCAAAGCATTCGGTTTTGTAGTTCCTGATTAAATCAATAAAATAAATTTACGCATTCATTACTTTTTTTGAGTCACCCTGTATATGCAAATCGAAAAAATTTGAATGGAATGATAAATCACAAGAAGAGACTCACCATATTTTGTACATTTTAGATAGGATTTTTTCAGCAAAATTTTGTGGTGACATCATAAATTTTTTAGGGGGGACGACCAAATACGTTTTGATCAAAAATTTACCATGCTTATGATAATTTTAAAATGTCTTCAAGATTTCGAAGCATTCGGTTTTGTAGTTCCTGAGTAAATCAGTAAAATAAATTTACGCTTTCATTTATTTTCTTGAATCACCCTGTATATGCAAATCCAAAAAATATGAATGGAGTGATAGATCACAAGTACAGACTGATCATATTTTGTACATTTTAGATATGATTTATTCGGCAAATTTTCGAACTGACGTCATCAAGTTTTTGGAGGGGATAAGCAAATATATTTTGACTAAACATTTATTATGCCCTTTATAACCTTAAAACATCTGCAAGATGTCAGAGCATTCCGTTTTGTAGTTCCTGATTAAATCAATAAAATATATTTACGCATTCATTAATTTTTTTGAGTCACCCTGTATATGCAAATCCAAAAAATATGAATGGAGTGATAAATTACAAGTACAGACTCATCATATTTTTACAGTTTGGATAGGATTTATTCGGCAAACTTTCGAGCTGACGTCATCAATTTTTTGGAGGGGATAAGCAAATATATTTTGACTAAACATTTATTATGCTCTTTATAACCTTAAAACATCTGCAAGATTTCAAAGCATTCGGTTTTGTAGTTTCTGAGTAAATCAGTAAAATAAATTTACGCATTCATAAATTTTTTTGAGTCACCCTGTATATGCAAATCGAAAAAATTTGAATGGAATGATAAATCACAAGAAGAGACTCACCATATTTTGTACATTTTAGATATGATTTATTCCGCAAACTTTTGAGCTGACGTCATCAAGTTTTTGGAGGGGATAAGCAAATATTTTTTGACTAAAGATTTATGATGCTCTTTATAGCCTTAAAACATCTGCAACATTTCAAAGCATTCTGGTTAGCAGATTAAAAATTAAATTTCAAAATGTTGTTTTATAATTTTGATTTTTTTTCCAAAAATCTGGACGTTTCGGGTGAAAAGTCGATTCAGAGTTGTAAACTACATGTGTAGGACTATGGTGGGGATGATTAGACAAATTTTGGTTAGCGTTTTACCATCTACATGATATTCTTAATATAAGTACAAAATTTCACAACAATCGGTCGAGTACTTTCGGAGATTATCTGTCTAATAAAAATCCGGGACGGCAGACGGACAGACGGACAGACGGACGGACAGACGGACAGACGGACGGACAGACGGACGGACAGACGGACAGACGGACAGACGGACAGACAGACGGAAATGGGAGACCTATTTCTTCGTCTTCTAGGGGTCATGAAAGATCGAGAAAACGTAAAAGTAGAGAGTCGGCCGACGGACTCGATTACAATACTTCCTTTGCTTACGCTCGGGAAGTAACAAGAGTTTATATAGATTTTATTTGTTGTGAATCAAATTTAGTCAGCACAGTGAAATTACGTCTGGAATTAAGAGATAATTGTTTCATTTTTCTTTCAAAACTATGGATTTTTACTGCCCAAGTATAATAAGCTAGGGAATATTGTGGTCTATCCGACGAATGGCCACTTTTATGATTCTTTGACGTTTCATGATCCTTAGAGTATGAAAAAGTAGGTCTCACGTTTCCGGCTGTCTATCGTCTGTTGTCTGTGTCGATTTTCATTAGACACATAATCTCCAAAACTACGGACTGATCGTTGTCTAATTTAGGTATATATTTACTTTAGGAATATCGTGCAGACGCTAACCAAAATTTGTCTAATCATTGTCACTAACAATTTGATGACGTCATCTCAAACTTTTGCTTAATAAATGCCATATCTTCTAATATATAAAATTTTCGGGTCACAGTGTTTGTAACCAAACTCCTCCGAAACGGTTTGACCGATTTTTATATATTTTTTTTTGTGTATATTCGGGATGGCCCACCCAAAAAATTTTTTGTTTATTTTTTGGACAAAATTTTTTATTTTTATTTTTTTAAGATTTGGCATCAAAAAATACGTATAACCTTAAATTTTCACTCTTCTACCACCAACTCCCATTTTTAAAATCGATATTTATTAGTATCTTTACTTTTATCCGCAATAGGGTTTAGAGTCGCAAGATGGCTGCTGAATATAATCATTGTCGTACGATAAATTTTTATGTATAATTTATAATTTAATTTAATTATAATTTATTTATTTATTTTCATTTAATTTTTTATTTAACTACCAGAATATTCACTAGAAATGATTTATATGGCAAAAAACGTTTGCCGGGTCAGCTAGTAAATTTTATATAATAACATATTTGTGTACTTATTGTGGTTTATGAATTTACTTTTTTATGTTTATCATTATTATAATTTTTATTATTTATTAATTACAACATCCATATTTATCTACAAATATTTACTATTTTCAACATGTTTTAAGGTTCTTGTTCTGAAAAGACGACCACGTATCTTAAGAAATGAGAACAAATAAAAACCCCGCCCACCCGCCCTGTCTCAGTTGTGATGATTTTTTTTAAATCGTCGAGAGCCAAAGGAGCGGAATTTAATTGCAAAATCCTTATTATTTCTATACAAGAAATTACCATGTAAGACATGTTTTTGAGTATCGTGTTATTAAAAAAATACTATGTATCTTAAGAAAAAACATAAAACCGATGATTAAGCCCCACCCATACCTGCCCTGATCTAAATACTAATGACATTTTCATTCGTTGGCAGACCTAGGGGCGTGTCTTAAGTTTCTAAGAATAAAAAAATCGTCTCAATTGAGACAGGGTGGGTGGGTGGGGTTTATATTTTGCCTTTTTTTCTTAATATACATAGTATTCTTTGAACAACACGATATTAAAAAACATGTTTTTAATTTCTCGTAGAGAAATAAGCATTTTGCAGTTAAGCTCCGCCTTCTTGGGTCACGACGAGTAAAAAAAATATCACAATTGAGATAGGGCGGGTGGGCGGGGCTACATTTTGCTTTTTTTCGTGATATACGTAGCCATCTTTTCACCACAAGAAAAAAACATGGTTAAAATGGTACTTTTTTGCAAGGGAGTATGGATTTTGCAATTGAGATATTCAAAAACATATTTTTAATTCCTCGTAGAGAAATAACGATTTTGGAGTTAAGCTCCAGTTGTTGGCTCACGATGAATAAAAAAAATCATCACAATTGAGATAGGGTGGGTGGGCGGGGCTGATAATTTACCCCTTTTTCTTAACATACATAGCCATCTTTTCACAACAAGAAACTTAAAACATGATTAAAATGGTACATTTGCGTAAGGAAATATGGATTTTGCAATTATAGGGTGGATCTTAATTGCAAAATCCAGATTTTCCTATACATACAAATTTTCCATTTTACAAAAATTTTAAGCTTCTTGTGGTGAAAAGAAGTCCACACATATTAAAACAAAAAGGCAAAATATCTCGTTTTTCTTTAATTATAAAATGCTAATATTTTTGTTGCATTAAAAAAATTGGGCAAGTTATTAAATAAGCAGAAATCATAGTATTTTTTTTCCGCATTTTTTTTAAGTTTATGGTTTCTTAGAATAATGCGTTTATATCAATGCAAAATCGAGTCCTTGATAGCACGGGAGCCGTTAACAATTCACTGTTTCCTGTTATATTTCCATGTGTATGCTTCTTCTGAGTGAAACTTTGTTTAGAATTCCTAGAATGTTGATGATGTCATCACAAAATTTTTTAATGGAAATATTAAGTTGAAACATGCGAATAACTTACCCATTTTTTATACATTACTACAAACATATCCTTGTTTTAAATTATAGGAGCTGTCATAAAACAAATAAAATTCGTAAAATCAAATTTTTGTAAATACTCGAAAAAGTTGAATAAGTCGTACAATATCTCAGGGACAAGGGAAGTTCTGTCGAAATAACCATCTTTTTTTGCAATAAAAGGTAGTTTTTCACTGAAAAATTCTTCATATTGAAAGTTTGTGATATTTTAGTATATTAACATGTTAACTGGTTTTAATTTTGTATAAGTATTCAATTTTTAAGGGGTATTAATTCATTAAAAGCACACTTGATTTTTTCACTCATAATTGTTATTAATAAAACAAGCTGTTATTTTTCATTAATAAATAAACCATAAAAACATATATAAAATATAAACAAAAACAAAACCAACAAAAGAAAAATCTATTAAAGCATAACCAACTAACTGCGTATAAGTAAGTTCGTAACGTTTCCAAATTTTGATCATTTTTTGTAAAAGTTAGTCATGACTCATGAGGTCATGAGTACTTGCTAACATAAGACTGATTTTGGCAAATGGGATACTATCTAAGAAAAGAGAGGGCGGATGGGCGGGGCTAGTACGTGGTACAATACGACCGATTTTGGCAAAAGATATACCCTCCAAGAAACCCGCACACCCTCTCATTTCTTAGAAGTATGTTATTTGGTAAAATCGGTCTTATTTTAGCAGCTACTGACCTCACCCACCCACTCTCTCTCTTCTTAGAGAGTATGTCATTTGCCAAAATCAGTTTTATCTTACTAGGAACTAAGGCCGCCCACCCGCTCTCCCTTTTCTTAGAAGGTATGTCATTGCCAAAATCACTTTTATCTGGCTAACTTTTACAAAAAATGATCAAAATTTGGAAATATTACGAGTTTACGTATATGCATAAAACAGGAATTTTAAAATATTCTCTAGCGTTTAGTTAGTTATGCTTTAATGGATTTTTCTTTTGTTGGTTTTGTTTTTGTTTATAATTTATAAATGTTTTATTAAATGTTTTTTTAAATTTATTTTTATTAATGAAAAGTATCCGCCATTTTCCAGACACCCGGTACATTTTTTTTTTTTTCTGAAAATTTTAATATCTAGAGTAAAAAGTCAACACGCACTCGTTAATTAAGCACACGAGTACTTTGCTTTACAAAATTTCCTAATATATACATCAAATTTGACAATAATCGGTAAAGTAAGGACAGACGACAGACAGATCTACTATATGGGTCATGAAACGTCAAGAAAACATGAAAGCAGCCATTCGTCGGATGGACCACATTACAATACTTCCTTAGCTTACGTTCAGGAAATAAAAGCAGACTATCTTCATTTAAGAGGCAATTAAACTACAGAAAAATCCCTTTTGTTTCTAGAATAATAAAAATTAGACATTTAAATTTTAATGAAAGAAAGAGGCGAATCTATTCTAGTTCATATCTTGCAGACATTTTTTCCACAATTGTTCAAATACACAGAAAAAGTTAACGAGTTTCGTTGGAATGAAGACCTACATTTACTACCTTGCTTTTATCAACCTAGCAAGAAATTATTTTTATACTGTGCTATTTTTCGAGCAAAGCAACTGTGGGGTGTCAGAATCCTTGCTAATTTTGTCAAACAGTATTCAAATCTGAATGTTTTAATAATAAAATAAAACCGAATCTCCATAAAATGAACCTCACCAACAATTAGCACATTTTATGGAATCAAATTTGTTGAGATCTAATATTTTACGGCTCGTTTTTTTATTATGTTCTCGCTGAAGCGTTTTAATAACATTATTTGATTTAGAACCAAACAGAAATAAACACAATAAATTTGTAATGCTCGTTTTATATCTCGTTATACAGGTTTTATGAACAAAGCTTTAATTAAAATCTAATTATTAAAAATGGTGGAGGCGCCGGGAAATTATTAGTATTCACATGAAGCAACACGAAAAATTAGTTGTTATCGCTAAATTGTAGGGAGAATCATTGTTTAGCGATTTCGATAGCAATTATAAAACAAAAGTTGCTGTAACAAAATTCAAATTATTATTAGAGGTATAAATGAACATATTGATCATTGCCTCTCTATCCCATGATTACATTGTTTTCGTGTCCCTTTCTAGTTGTAACATGGCTGGTGTTGGGTGTTGAATATTTATAATCAAATTTTACCATTTTTTAAATATCTTTTCTAATTACATATTTTAAAAAGAAATTATAAAACGTGTTAACGAATTTCAGCCGCAAGTTGAGATTAATAGTTAAAAAAATAAATCCATTATTCAGCAGCACGGTTTTGGAATTACAAATAAAAAATCTCGTGCGTGGGAACTGCAGGATTTTTGAATTCAGCGTGCGAAAACGCCCCAGGAAGTATTAAAAAAGCTAATTTCAAACGATTGCTAAAGCACATTTTTCAAAATACTTATTTACCCGGAGCGGAATTAGCTCCTACAGATTGAAAATTTTCACACTCCGGAAAACATTTTTTATAGTTGACATCGGTCCATCTAAATATAACCCCTGTGTTTGAACAAAATCATTTCTAGTGTATGACGCAAGCTTGGTATTTAACATGTGACATGCAATACTACTTCTTCTCTCCGGTTATCCTGCTGCCACTTTGGAAACTTCGCATTTTCGGCTACATCAATTATGTTTGCATTTACGTTCTATCAATAGCAAGTAATTTTTATTTTGCCTGGATCAATAGATATGATGGCGGAGTTCCTGTGACGTAAGTGCATACGTCTAGAGCTTGCAAACACAACGTTTGTCATCGTATGAATTGCAGCAATCAACTCTTCTCCACGAAATACTTCCAGCACCACTACATCGCTCCACACACGAGAGCAGCTACTTACATAATCGGCTTAGGCCTCGGCTATTCGCTTCAGAAAACCAGGGGAAGAAAAATTCAAATTAGTTATCCGATTACTCTCAGTCTGTGGATCATTTCAATCGGGTCCATGCTGGTCTCACTAATCGGATGTCATGTCTTTCACGAGGAAGTCCACGACTACAATAGATTGGAGGCTTCGGTTTTCCTGTCCTGTTCGCGGTCAGCGTGGACAATAGGTGTCGGGTGGATGGTTTGGGCCTGCATTCACGGATATGGAGGTATAACAATCCGAGGTCTGGGACATTTGCCAAATTTTATGTACATTTGCTAAAAGCAGACACACAATTTATGTTTATGTGTAGGGTCAGTTCGTTTCGGAATTGGTTTTCCTGAAAGGAAAGATGCTTTGTTCGAATCAAACTTTGTACAATTACTCGCATACACTTTGCGTCTTATTAATTTTTTATTTATTCAGGTATATTATTGAGAGCTGTACTTTACAAATTCATTGGAATTGTATTAATTTATAATTATTATTATTGGTTTAACTTTACTTAATAATCTTATATTTATAGGTAGTTATTAAATAATTGCTTAGAATAAAAGTCTTATTAGTATACTAAACTGCTCTGACTTTAACATCATTTACTGTCAACAACCGTTGGTTTTGCGTTTTATTGAAAATACGCTCTGATTGAAGCTGATACTTGATAAAATGTGTTGTTACAAAAAATAGTACATTTTCAGTGAACTTGCGAAGTTTTAAGTACATCGACGTCGACTTCACTTTTGTTTGTTTAGTTTTCTCTGATATAAACTTCACTGCTTAGCAGATTATTCTCAATATATCGCGAAGTAAAAATCCAAATTTAATCACAGATTGGACATGGTAGCTAAAGTCCTGCAGTGATTGCCATCTTCTGTAATCTATCATTAAATCAAATATGTAAAAATATTGTGCTAGTAATCACAATTTTAAAGTGACTATTATAGCAAAAAAAAAACCATTAGTAAAATATTTCTTTAGTGAATTTAACCCAGTAAATGGAAGAACACCATTTACAGCAATTAAATCCTCAAGATAGCGCATATAAACTGCATAATAAATTTAACGAAAAGTTTCTCTAAAGATAAAACGCAAACAGGAATTTAAATTTAAAACACCTTATCCCCCTTACGATTTTCAGCATTATATTCCTCGAGGTTTTATAGTATAACGGCCTGATTTTCAGATACGAGTACTGCACCCATTTAGTATGATGTAGACGAATGTATTTGAAACGGATGAGTTTCAAGCATTAATTAAAAAATAATATTCAATAATATTCAACCCTAGAAAGGTTTAAGCATCCTCCTGGTGGTTTCTAACATTTGACTCCTCGAAGTTTTCTAATCCTACAGTTTGATTTTCGAACCGGATACTGTACCCGTTTAGTACGGAGAAAAATATACAGGGTGACTGGGGTATATTGTGCCAGATTTTAAAGGGTTACAATATGCATTATTTTGATTCTTAAAGTCTAATAACATTTTGGTCTAAAACCTATGGTTAAGTCAGAACTTTATGTGTCTCCACCGTTTGAGAACCACTGCACTGTGTAATAATAAATTTTATATACAACCGTGGGATATATCTTATAAATCGCACTCACTGGGACAACGTAATGTTTGAGATTATCGCACGCGTGCGATAATTTTTAGATAACCGCACGCGTGCGATAATATGTCAAATCGGACACACATCCATGAATACAAAAGAATCAAAGAGACCTGCTATTTATTATTGTTATATATATACATTGATAATACAACTCTTACAGTGAAACAAATTAATGTCATCAGATTCAGTTGATAATTGTGGGGTCGTTGACGACGAACTAATGTAGGAAGTGTTTTCATTGCACCATTTTGCATATCGTTCAAACGCCAGCTGATATTTTTCGCGTGATTTCTGAGGAACAAGACCAGAAATAACATCCAAAGCAACTAAAGGCAGATCTTCTGAAGCACTCATTCTGATGATTTAGTAACAAAATATTCAAAATCAAAATTTGTTTACTGTTTACACTGTTGCTAAGTACGTTGCCATCATTTTGAACAATGAGATGCAGCTGCTTCTTTTAATTAATATTCACAACATTTTGATCGAGAGTTGTTAGTCCATGATTGAAAGCAGCAAAAATGTTTTATTTATAAAAAATTCAACAGTTGTACATAAAATTTTGTACACAATTCGTGGGATACACTACTATCGCACTTACATGGTTACGCAAAACTCGGGCTGACGCCCTCGTTTGCGCAATTTCCATGTGCGTGCGATAATAATGTATGTATCCCACTTATTGCGTAAATAACTATTACCAAGTTGAGAAAATTAAATACTATTGTTAGTAATTTTATTTATTTTTAAACACCTTATTAAAGCAAATGCTCAAAATGAGCTCCATTCATTCTCACATAAGCATTGGCACGACGAATCTATTGCTGCTGCACTCGTTGGAGCATTTCCGGGTCCCCGCGAATGATATTGGTGGCTTCATAGATTCGTTGTCTGAGGTGATCTTCTGTTCTGATCTATTCTGTATAAACCAACGACTTCATGTGGCCCCAAAAGAAAAAATCAAGTGGATTCAAATCGGGAGATCTGGCAAGCCAACGCTGAGCCCCGCCTCACCCGATCCACCTTTCAGGGAATTGAACATTTAAAAACTGCCGTACCAGACGGCTAAAATGAGGTGGCGCCCCATCATGTAGAAACCACATACTTTCTCGGATATGTAGCGGCACTTCTTCCAACAATTCTTGTAAATTTCTTCTTAAAAATCGTCAATAAATGGCACCCGTTAACCGCGGGGGTAGTTCAAAAGGTCCTATAAGATAATTGTTTACAATACCGGCCCATAGATTAATTGAAAACTCCTTCTGAAAACGGGTTTGTCTTATGGCATGCGGATTTTCATCTGCCCAAACGTGAACGTTGTGATAATTAAAAATTCCCCGACGCGTAAATCCTGCCTCGTCTGATGCCAAAATAATACGAGGAAAGTCGGGATTTTCTTCTACCTTTCGTAGAAACCAACTACAAAATGCAAAACGGGGTTGATAATCAGCTGGAGATAGAGCTTTTACACGCTGAACGTGGTATGGATATAATAACTGTTCTCGTAGTGTTCTCCAAATGGTTCATTGAGAGACATTAAATCGTTTGGCAAGGCATCTTGTACTAATTCCAGGGTCATCATGTACAGCATCCAACACCTCTTCTTCAATGTTGACAATTCGCTGAGGGAGTTGTGGACCTCGTTCGACTCTTCTAGGTAACAAGGAACCCGTCTCTTGGAGTCGCTGGTGCAGATCTTGAAACATTCTTCTTGAGGGTAACCGTCGGTGAGGGAAACGAGTGCCACAAACGCACTGCCACACGGGCTACTCCGCGTGCCTCTCCATAAATTAAATGAATGTCCGCTAATTCTCTAAGTGAACACCCATTGACATCCATCTTAAATTTATTAAAACATGTTCACAGATGCTTTGACAAATTGTCAAACAGGAGTATTATTTTATTATTTAATTTATTGTCATGGTTTCTAATAAAACAACTGTAAAAATTTCAATGTATCAGGTGAATTCCAGCGGTTTCCAACCGATGGGCTATGAAATTTGTGTATTCTATAACTCTTTTGGAATAAGTCTGAGCTGTAAATGTTATTAAGGTTTTTTACTCAAAATAATGCAAACTAGCACCCCTTAAAATCTGTCACAATAAACCCCAGTCAGCCTGTATAAAGGACGTGAGTCATTTATGAAAATAAAAACAGTTTTCAAACTTAACAGAACAAAGCTCCAGAACATTCTTAGCATCCATCTTCCGGTTTTTAGAATTTGATTTCTCGAAGTTTTCTGATTCTACGGTCTGATTTTAGGACTGGAGACTGTACTTGTTTAGAATGGAAGGACGAATGTCGTTCAATTTCAGAATTAAAATTTTTCAAATTTTAGTGGGACATAACTCCAGAACAGGTTAAATATCTACCCTATTCGATTCCTCACAGTTTTCTGGTTCTACGACTTGATCTCAAGATTCGATACTCCACCCTTTTAGCACGCAGGGACGAATGCCATTTACGAATTTGAAAACAATTTTCAAATTTAACGGGACATAACTGCAGAAAGCTTTTAGTATACGCCTTCTGGTTGTCAGCATTTGATTCCTCGAAGTTTTCTGGTCCTACAGCCTGACTTTAAGACCGGATACTCTAAGTATTTAGTACGGCGGGACAAATGTATATGGGACGGGGACGTCATTTATAAATTAAATAGAAATCAATTTTTCAAATTTTAGTGAGACATAACTCCATATTGGTTTAAGTGTCCGCTCTGCGAACCGGTCACTGGTACGATGTTTAGTTTAACCTCAGATAACTATGGATCACCATATGGGACGGGTGTCATTTCAGAATTAAAATACAATTTTTCACATTTTAATGGGACATAACTCCAGAACAATTTAAGTATCTGCCTGTGATTTTCAATATTCGGTTCCTCAAAGTGTTCTGGTTCTAAGACCTGACTGTAAGATCCGATACTCTACCCTTTTAGAATGCAGGGACGGATGTATATGGAACGGGTGCCATTTACGAATTTGATAAAACAATTTTTATTATGCGTCTTTTGGTTATCAGCAATTGATTCCTCGAAGTTTTCTGGTCCTACAGCATGATTTTTAGACCGAATACTCTAAGTGTTTAGTAAGGCGGGACAAATGTATATGGGACGAGGGCGTCATTTATAAATAAAAAAACAATTTTTCAAAATTTTAGTGGGACAACTCCAGATTGGTTTGAGTGTCCGCTCTGCGGTGTGCAGTCTTCGATTTTTAGAAGTTTTCTGGTCCTATGGTAAGATTTTAAGACCGGATATTCTACACGTCTGCAATGAAGGGACGAACATATATGGGACGGATGTCATTTCAGAATTTAAATACAATTTTTCACATTTTAGTGGGACATAACTCCAAAACGGTTTAAGTATCTGCCTGTGATTTTCAGTATTCGATTCCTCAAAGTTTTCAGCTCTAGCGACTTGAGCTTAAGATCCCATACTCTACCTGTTTAGAATGCAGGGACGAATGTATATGGGACGGGTGCCATTTACGAATTTGAAAACAATTTTCAAATTTAACGGGACGTAACTCCAGAACACTTTTAGTATCCGCCTTCTGGTTTTCAGCATTTGATTCCACGAGGTTTTTGGTCCTACGGCCTGATTTTTAGACCGA